CAAGGAATTTAGATCAAGTTAAATATAATTTCGACAATTAAGTAAAATAATTTCGTCATTAATAAAAAACTAGTTTCATCATTTCAGTTTTGTCAATTTCATCATATTAAGAAAGGTAATTTCGTCAGGTATCACTAGTTATAATGTATTTTAAATAAAGTAATTTGATGAATTATATTTTTTTAGCATTTTTAAAAAGAATAAATCAAAATATATTTTATAAAAAATTATTGCATATACTCATATAGATTATTATAATTGCCTGAAAGCTAATTTTCTAAATATACCTTTTTTTGAAATCATATTTTCTAAATAATAATTTTCCACACTGAATTTTTTATTGAAATATCTAATTACCTAAATGCTAATTTCCTGAAATCCAATTTTCTGAATTGCATGAAATATCCATTTTTCTGAATTCTGATATTCTGAATGTCATAATATATCAAATTCCAATTTTCTGAATATTCATATTCCTAAATCTCTATATCCCAAATAGGCTTAAATATTGCTCAAGTATGTAATCATCTATGTCTAAAATTTATATTATAATCTATTATCAAAAAGGGCTATAACTTATAACTTTTAATTATATTATATGATTTACTCTATTAATATAAATATCAGAAAATTATCCATTCAGATTATAGTGATTCAGAAAATAGTTCATTCAGGATATTTGGATTCAAAATATTAGGTATTTGGGATGTTAGAATTCAGGAGTCAGGAAATTAAAATGTTTACTCATGAAATTGGATTTCAGGATATTGGCATTCAGAAATTTAGATGTTTCAGTAAAACATCCAATTCAGAAAATTAGTGTTTGGGAAATTTGACTTTGAAAAATAATATGTTCGAAAAATTAGCTTTTGGAAACTTGTCTAATAAGAATTCATATATACTATATAAAGCAGACATAATTTGAGTTTAATGTCATATATTTTAAGCTATCCTAACTTGAACTGTTAAAGGATACTTTATTAATATTTTTTCTAATAAAAGTCACATCTAATAATATGGGGTTGACTTTTATTAGAGTTTTTTAATAAAAGTCACTTCTGATAATTTAGATACAACTTTTATTAGTCTTTTCTAATAAAAGATACCTTAAAATTCAGAGGTGTTTATTATTAACTAAAACTTCATATCAATCTGAAATTTTCAGATTAAATCTGCCTATACTCAACTATTAAACTTAGGATATTAATGACTTGATAAAAGGAAGTATATGTATATTTAACTAAGATTACTATGAGACAAATATTATCACAATCATCCTTTAAGTTTATTACTTGGTAATTATTTTACATGAGTTTAACTATGTAATTTTATAACTTATAATAACAATTTAAACATGTTAAAGGGAAATATCCTTTTTATTGTAGATTTGTAAGCTTAAAGATCCTTAACTCTTGTATTCTAAGTCTTGAACTCACACTTTTAAGCTGTTCTTTTACAAAAGCAACTTTCTATTCTATTTATACAAAATTACAATTATAAGAAAACTTATATTTAACGCTATTTTATAATAAATAATTAATAACAATAAGATAAATAATAAATATAAAATATAAGATAAATATACAAGTATTAATAAATACAATAATAATAAATAATATAAAATTATAAAAATGTTAAAGTTAATAACACCAAATTTGTAAATAATTGTGACGCAGTAACTTTGACGAGATCCGATATCAATTTTTTCCCTCTAAATTTGCAGCTTCTGCAAAAATTTCATAAGTTTCGTCAACTAATTCTCTGAATTCCTAGGCTTTCAAATTATAGACCATCCTAAGAGTTAGCCTTTTAATATGACCTATTTGTTCTATTCCAAGAGTTTCAAAGAGATAGTAAGTTTGTTTGGAAGCTTGCTAGTAGTATAGAGTCATCATATTTCTATACTGGGTTCATTCTGCAGGACTGGAGGTTTCTGTTTCCATAACTTGCCCTAAATAAGTTTCATTGGCAAGTGTCAACATCCTATTTTTTAACCTGGCAGCTCGTAATAATGCTCTGTAAGCTGATTTAATTTTTTTGTAATGTTGAATCGGTTGAGAGGTATAGTGGAGGGATATTGAAGTCATTAAAATCTTTAACAATCAATAAATTTTCTTTAACTTGTTGGTATAAAGTCATAAATTTGTAAGATTTATTAAAATTTTAAAAGAATTTTCATTCCTTTATATAACAATCTGCGGTTCCCAGTTTAACCTATCATGATAAGATTTCAATAGATTTCCATACGTAAACACTTTTCCATCTAATTCTCTTAATTTGTAAGATCCATTTAATATGATTTGATGGATATACTATGGTCCTTTCCATTTAGGGTTTAATTTGCCTGGCCATTGTTTATCTTTAGCCGCATCGTAGTACAAAACAATATCTCCAATTTCCTATCATTACTTACAATAGCTTGTATAAATCTTGTACCAATAATAAATCATCATGATGTTTGAAATTAAATATTCCTGTATATGGCCTCTCGGTAACATCTTCGATTGCAAGATCTAAAGGAAAATCATCAAACAGGGCCAGGTTCCCATATCACTTCCAATAATTAGGACCTTCATCCCTCCTGATTTTAATCGTCGTTTTAAGGAGGAAGGATATTCGAAGTTGTTTCTGATGCCGCTACAGCTACTGCTGTTGCTAGAGGTAGTTTTCGGTGCTAAGGTTTTTTGATATCCCATTTGTCCTGGCGGATTGTCTTAAATTCTTCTTTAGATGATTCTAACTAATAAGGGGTGCGTGGTTTATTTTTGAGAAAAAATCGTCAATTTTTGTCCTTAAATTGTGAAAATCTCGATTAGTCTGGTCATCCTAAAAACCAGATAATTAGTTCTATAGGTCTTTACATCTGGCTAGCATAACCTTCAAATTCACCATAATCATGTAATGAACTCTGAAGAGATGGTCATTACATTTTATCCTGGACTGTCCTTCCTCATTACGGGTTCGCTCACGAGGCTCATTCAACAAGCGCTTTTTGGTGATCGTTTTTTGTAGTAAAGTACTTTAAGATTGGGTTTCTCCTGTCACGTCTAGAATTTGTTGGGTTTACAATGACCCTTTTCAGTATGCAAAATCAAGATCAAGATAGATGTAATTAAATGTCGAGTCAACGTACTAACCTGTTCAATACAGATTTGGTCCCTCAGATCGTCCTTCGACAGATATTGTTAGAAAGTGCTGTCAAAACAGAAAGCCAATTTTTGAAATATTAGATAGCTTACTTGTTTCTTCTCACTTTAACTCATTCTCATGCAAAGCAAATTGATCTCCGCTAGAGTATTTTTTCTTTTCACTTGAAGATCCCAAGAAATAGTTTACCTGATCTGTTGATTTATCATTATTTTTAAGTTAGAAAAGAACGGTAACTTTATTCTAAAGATAAACGTAGGCAAATCACGGACAAGTCGCAACCTTTCCCGATACCAGTCGCAACCAGCATTATATTTGGTGTCGCACATATAGAATCAACCAACAAAATGAGTACACTTGCCTTATTGTTTTAACTAACTTATCACCTTTGCCCCGATTTCAGAATTTTCACCATGGTGATGTTAAATGATTTCCAATTCAATTTTATATGTACGGTGTTCTGTATCCTTGTCTTCCAAATCGTTGTCTTTAATCGGGAACTCTAAGATTACGCAAGCATTATTATAAAAAAGACTAGTATGGCTGTCTTGCCACATAATAGCATAATGGACATTCGATTTTCTAGCGATATTATTGGTTGAAATTGATTGTCGTAATATTTACCAAAAAAAGATAGGCTAATTTTTTGGCAATTCTAGAAAATAAAGAAAATTACGATGATGATGATGATGATGATAATAACCAACTTCCCGCCCCCAAAAAAGAAAAAAAAAATAGTACAGTATAAATTATATAGCTAACTTTTTACAAAAAAAAATTGATCTTTATTATTATTTTTTTTTAATTATTTTTTAGATGATGTTCCTCCTCCCTCTGCTCCACTATCACCACACAACATTTTCATTTAATTTATGATGAAAATTTGGATTTTTTTTTTAAAAAAATAATAAAAGAAATATTTGAATTTAATTTATCATTATTCCTTTTCTTATTTTATTTTATTTTCTAATTATTATAAAAGACGATAACAACACCACCACCACTAATATTGTTGCTGACACCACTACTATCACTAATAGGGTTCTGCAAAATCAAATTGAATCAAATATTTGATTGAATCAAATCAAATTGAATCAAATTGAATCAAATCAAATCAAATCAAATATTTGATGAATCGAATCAAATCAAATCAACCAAACTGAATCAAAGTGATTAAGACGTGGTGAAGCATTTAAATATAAATTAAAGAAAATCACAAAATGGGTACATAAAGTAAAAAATAAAGTAAATGCTACCTAGCCT